GTAATTTTCATTCATTTTAACTTTTAAATTTTAACAAGCAAATCATATTTCTTTTCTTTTTTTTTCTGAATACCGTTGCACTTTCATTAAAGCTCTGTGAAACACTTGAGATTTCATGGTAAAACTCAGTTTTATGGTCTAGTAACAGTACTAATGAGATTTACTAGTAAATGTCAACAACTCGGAATTTACATTAACAAACATAAATTATTGAGTTGTTTTCAGAGCCTTCTTAAATAAAATATATGAGTGCGTTGTTATGATTATTATAACAATTTAATTTAATTTTGATTTGTTCAATTTAATCAAACCACACTATCAGATATCGCAACACAACATAAATATACCGTAAGGAAGTTATAATCAGTGAGGTGGGCTCTGTGAGATAAATATGTGGTAACCCACCACATCAAAGGAAAATTAATAAAAAAACAGTATAGCTTGGAGAAAAAGGTATTATGACAGCATAGAACATACGGATGAAATTAGCAGACTACAAAAATGTTATCCAAAAATTCAGTTTTCTTTCAAGAATGTCTACACCATTGCTTTGTGGGTTTTATGCGAAGAGAAAACGATGAACAAGAATAAGAACAAACAGGTCAACAACTAAAAAAAATATCAGAATTGATTGGCTTAAATAACAGAAAATGGGATTGAAAATAGAAAATAACAGAGGTTAAAACAGTATTTTTTTTTTTAACAAATGAGTTCAACTTAACTGTTTGAAAAAACTTTTATCAATAAGAAGTTAAAGGTAAAAGTTTTTTCAAAACTGTTAAATAAAAGTCCAAGCTTAAAAAAATTTCACTTTTTTAATACATATATAAATGTCATAAAAAAGTATTTGTTGAACTTTTACTAATTCTAAAATAAAAGTTATAAATACAAATAATAATAAAAGTTCATAATTATTACACTGCTCAGTACTTAGAGTGTAAAACTAATAAATCCCGCTGATCAAATATTTCAATGTTAACTTTGTAGAACATCATACAATGCAAAGTTTTATTTGTTAATCAGAAATGTTTTATTAGAAAAGTAAAAGCTTCAATGTTTTTTTAGTTAACATACATAAGGGGAGGCCTACAGTTATGTAATTGTAACATACTTGTACGAACCTGCTAAAAAAAAAAAATTCATACTATCTTGTTCCATAACTTGTAAATATGTGCTACATTAAATGCATAGAAAAATTATTATGTTTTATATAGTTATGTACATATAATGATAATTATATTTCTGTTAATAAAAACGTCAAAGCATATTACTTTTTTCATTAAAACCTATTGAAGTAAATGGTTTATAAAATCTGGTATATGAAAACTTTTACTGAGGTTTGAAAATAAAAGTTAAAAAAATAACTATTTTGAAATTGAATGTATCAATAAAAGTAAATGTTCAACAAAAACTTTCATATATCTAGATATATAGGTAAAAGTTAAATCTTTACTTGTATTTATAAGAATTAACTGTTTCATTCGACCTCTGGAAAATTAAAAATTCTTGCTATTAAAAATGAGTTGATTGAGAGATGAATGAATACTGAAAAAATTACATGTTTATGCATGAAGGGGAAAGAATTGCTTATTAGTTTATTAAGATTGCTTGTTTAAACAACTCTAAATTAGAGAAAAATTGTCGCTATTGCATCCATTTCATCTTCGACTTCCTCATTCTCTACATCAGTCAGCTGCCAACAAAGATTCTTCTGTCAACCTCAGTCCACTATTATTAAAAATGAATGTCATCAAGAGCAGGGGTGCCCATCCCCCCTCACCCAAGGCCTATAAACCTTCCTCCACCTCTCCTAAGACATTTTATTTCTATCTTCTTCTTAAAAACAGTGCAAAGTAGAATTTAAATATTAGTAGATTATAAACAATTACACATACTGTTGTTTGTTCCATGCCTCCACTTGTCTTTTAATTTGAAGCTTTTCATTTTGAAAATTCATAAACCCGTAGAAATGTGCTCCCCTCAAAAATTAAAAAACCCATCAAAGAGTGCCCCCCTCATAAATTTTTATGGCGCAGCTTGCGCCATCAAATCTCCCCTAACCACCCCTGATCAAGAATAATATTATTGAGTACACTTAAAGCCCTAAAAAATTGAACTGTAGATTTCTTATATAGATATTAAAATTTATTTTATATTGAAATTAATAGTTTTATCTTGTACAGATAATTGACCACAATTATAATTTAAGAAGTTGGTCGGGGTGCAGTCAATATATAATACTATATATTATAATAGTATTTTATTGTTTTCCAATGTTTTGACCAACACTGTCGGTCTTCATCGGGGCATTTCATCTGGCACTGCCAGATGTAGTTAGGAGACTTAATAGTTTTATCAATATTTTTGTGATATGAATTGTTTAAAGTTTTTTCTATTTTTAGCCTTTTATTATCCAATACTTCCAATGTTTAAAAATAAAAATTAAGTTGTAATCTTATACTGTGGTAGAATTAATATTTTTAATGTGTTACCATTTGATAAAATGTGTTCTTTGTTTTTATGTGTTGTTGAGTTTGTCGGAAATTGCAGTCATTGAGGTACACAAAACTATTCGGAGTCAACAATTTGTACTTCATCTTTTTTTTCTACACCATTCTTAGCGTCAAAGAGCCTCGATCCAACAAAGTTCCTCACGGTCTCGGCTAAGCTGCCTCATTTATTGGAGAGATTTTCCTCTCTTCCCTCCTTTCCACTGTATTTACTCTTGGTAGAAAATTATGGGACGGCCACATGGTATCCTCTCAATGGTTCGAGCTTCCAATGCTTTATGAGGTTCTCTTTCGTCTTCCAACCGACAAATGTGGCCAAACCACTAAAGCTGATTTTGTGTGGTCTTTAGTTTCATCACCTCCAGATCCTCCTTTATCCATTCATTTCTGAAACGGTCCCTTCTGGTCTTTCCAACAGCTCTCTGCACAAACTTCATCTCAGCAGCTGTCACCCGTCTGGCCTGCTTGTCCAGAATAATTCAACTTTCACTTTCGTAAGTCAGGATTGATAGAAAGACAGACTTGTACATGTGCATTTTAGTTTCTTTACTAACGTCTCTGTGTCCCACCATGGTGTTGCAGATAGGGAAGTAAACCTGAGTGGCTTTGGAAATCCTATTTGCTACTTCTGGGTCACTTCTTCCACCATAATGAAATAAAAGTTATTAAGCCTAATCATAGATATGAAAGAGAAAATTAATATGCGGGATAAACAAAATATAATATATAGCTTAGTCTGCGAAAATTGCAATAGAATTAGCATTGGTTAAAGAAAAAAATTAAAGCCTGATTGTCACAGTATAAATTATATAAATATTTGTTATATTATTATAAATAACTTTCTTTATTTTTTTATTTACTTTAGGAATTTTTATAATTCTACAAATTTTTTGTTCAATCAGATTCTATTTATTATTAGATAGTGATCATTGAATATGTTTCTGAAATTATGAATTATTTTATTTTGTTAAGATTTAATTATGAATACTAGCCCCCTCACAAATTGTAAAATATAACCATTTCTTGTGAAAAAAATATTAAAAAATGATCTCTAAAAGTTTGTGTAATTACATTTAATAAGATTTCAAGAATCACTTTGTCACCATTTCATATAGATAGGATCTTTCTCCTTCTTTTGAAGTAATAATTATATATATATATATATATATATATATATATCCTAACTATCTATATGAAATGGTGACAAAGTGATTCTTGAAATCTTATTAAATGTAATTACACAAACTTTTAGAGATCATTTTTTAATATTTTTTTCACAAGAAATGGTTATATTTTACAATTTGTGAGGGGGCTTCAACCCGAAAGTCCCCTCCTCTGTAGATGTGCCTGTGTTTTAAACTATTACTTAGTGTTTTTTTTTTTAATAGTCAGTGATATTATTATATACCAAAAATTGATGGGGAAATAAATTATCAAAAGATAGTATAAAATATGTGAGGTGATATTTTCTTTGTGGTTTATTTTGTTTTAAAAATTAAGATTTTTGAATTTATTATGAGACAATGTACTAATTAACAAATCATCTTACTTTCTTAAACACCATAAGTAATATCACCTCGCTCAAAGCAATGAATGTTGAAAATGAAAATTATCTATTGATATAGAAGCTTTTAATTAAAATAAATTATAATTTCTAGACAAATATAAAAAAATACATTAATTTTAAAATAGTGTAGTAAATATGGCTAACACAATATAGTAAAATTATCACCATTAGGAAAAGATTTTCATTTAAATTCAAAAATAATCTTAAAGAAATAATAACATTAATCACAGATATTTGATAATCTATGTAAATCTAAAAACCACATGAAATAAAATATGTGCAATGATTATTGATGGTAGTTTTATATATTTCGTATGTGGTAAATAAACAGGATTTTTCATTTTGATAATGTTTATTAAGACTGTATTTGTTAGAAATTATAGCAGAATACAAGTGCTCAGAACATGGCTACATGAATGGATTGGAAAGTTAGCAATTATAGATAGTCTAAGACAGTAACGAAAACATCAAATAGTGGTCGCAGGTGATGTGAATGAAGGTCTAAATATTGGTGATTAATAAATATTTACCTCTATTTATTTTTATAATGCATCTCATATTACTGCTTTGACACTGGACCTTTTCTTCTTTGATTTACCATACACTCGATCATCAACATACAATAAAGATTACCAAAACGTTTGGATCCTATATTATAATAAAAATATAATATATGATATATAATAAAAATAAAATCACCACAACAATAATAAATCAATAAAGATCAAAGATGTAAAAAGAGTGAGCGAGTTAGTAAGTGATTACTAAAAACAAACAATGCATTAATAGTAATAAAAATTAAATGCATAATTTTCTTAATGGCAAAAGTACTTATACTCATTAGAAAAACAACCTTTCAAGTAAATACTGGACTGATAAAACTAATAAATAAATCAACAAAAATTGCATATAAAAAATATATTGGTAAATTTACAAAAAAAAATTATTAACAATTTTCCATGATAGTAGTACTTAGTACTGTAGTACTAACTGAATTAAATCTGTAGTAATGATGAACAGGATGTTACAAATATAAATATATATTATAATTAAAATAAATATTTAAAAATGTTTTAATGAAGATAAAAAGGAAAAATGTAATTAATTACTTCAAATATTGAATCTTTATTTACTAATATATCTCCATTGATGGGTGGATTAGACTAAAAAATTTAACACAATTCAGTTACATAAGATTTAAAAAAATTATAGACATTCTTTGCAATGAATTAGACCTGTTTCAAATGAGTTTTGACTACCAAAAAACTGTCAGGCGCATGCCGATTACAGGTTTTGGAACGGAAATAACAGTAATGCGCATGCGCCTGATAGCTGAGTTAAAATTTTGGAACCGGCTTATATTTTTAAATATAAATAATACCACTATAAGCAACTTTTATGTCATGGATGGAATGGGGCTATTAGTTAATTATAGTGGAATGTATTTAGATAATTTAATTACTACGTAAATGAATAATATAAATATTGAATCGAATAAAAAATAAATTGGCTCTGATCAGTTGAACAGAATACTAATTAATTTTTAAAAGTATTAGTTAAAGCTGCAAGGGTAACTTGGACATAGAGATAACCTTTGAATGATAGGTGTTTATAAATGGAATGCCTGTCGTAACATAAGATCAAAGCAGGTGTCAGTGTCGATGGAAGCGCTGACCCCAGCGTAGTAGTTGAAGAATTCTTCTCTTGTTATGTTCCCGTCGACGCTTCCTCTCTCGAAGGTGGCCATGAACTTCCTCAGGATTTCGTTTTCCGTCATCTCCCCGCTCCTGTACTTGGGATGTGCCCGAACGCTGCAGAGATCTCGCAGCTCCTCCAACGTGATCACACCGGCTTTTGCCTTGTCGCACTTGTCGAATGCATCATTCACTGATTTCTTCCTCGTATCTGACATTTCGGGTCTGATGGCATTAATGAATTCAGTTGCGCTAATAGTTCCTGAACCTTCCGTGTCAAAAGCCTCAAACAGTGACTCGATCTGATCTCCAGTGAGTTGGTAATCAGCATCTCGGATTACTTCTTTGAATTCTTCTAAAGTCAAATCGTCACTTTCTTTTCTTCTGATTACTCTACCAAACTCCAGGAGACCTTCAGATCCTCTGGACAAGCAGAGAAGACGCAGCTTTTCGAGAGGATCCAACGTCGACTCCGCCGTTTTGTTGGCCTGATACATCATACCTTGGTTAGCCCAGCTGGTCTGCGATTGAGGGTTCGTAGGCATTTTTATTAATTAAATTGAAATATTTCAAGCACTGAATCAAGCCAAGATAAAAAATATAACAATAAGTCGATTTACACTATAACTCTATTGACCAAAAACACTAGAGGCTAATGAACTATAAGGATTGTACTGAATAAATGGTTCGATGTGATGTAATCACACAGCTGGCTTGAGCAAGGAGGTCATTTGAAATTAAATGGATTTGTCAATGCTGCCATTATTTTCATCATTTTTATTTCTTCTTAATTTTAATTGGAAACACATTTTCGTTTATGATTAATTTTCTTAATCAATCTTTTGCAATCACTTTTTCTATATCTGCCGGTGAAAAATCCAGTAGTCACCAGCTGATAAGTAGGAATGGAACGGTAAAATAACTTATCAACTCAAACCGTTCTTAGTTCCACCTCCGTATCAGGTACTTTTAAGCGTTCCAGCTACTTGCAGTTCCCAGTTTCATATGAACTGATTTACTTACAATTACAATTATATTTGCACCGATATCCCGGGGGGAGGGGTCGATGTTCGAAGTAGTAGATAATTCAATAAGTCGCTTATTTAATCAATATATTATATTATATTTATAGATATATTATATTTATAGTTATATTATAGATTATAGTATATTAAAGGCGATAAACCGAAAACCTCTGACTGAAAAGGGGCTCCAAAAGAAAATGGTTTATTTATTTTTTCTTAATAAAAAGCAAAGAAAAACGCCTTTCCGTTATTTTTTGGTTATCTTAATCGGGACTAACTATACACAAGTCACCTGTGAAAGATGTTTTAAAAACTTAAGGTCATTAAAAATCGACTTAAGTCAACTAAGTACCTATGTCCGATCTCCTAGATTTATAGGTATATTTTTAATCGGATACAAATATATTAATAGATAGTGAAGAACTGATCAGAAAGCTGTTATATTAAGTCATTCTTTCATCATAATGTACATATTTTTTTAAATCATTTCTTCTTTACACATGGGCGTAGTATGTCAACCTGCCACCTCACGGATCATGGATCATGGGTCTTTCGGAGTAAAGCTCGTTGAACATGGATCCTTTATGCCCAAGATGTAGAGTATGGTGAAGACCTTCAAGCATATCGAACTGGTCTGGATCAGCCTTGAGGCACTGAGGGAGACAGTTGTCCTCTCCTATGACCAAGGAGGACTACCCATACTTCAAGACCAATAGATTGGGTAGAAATGGTTCTTCAATCAATTTCTGGAAAAGAAGAAAAGGAGCTACGCCAGGAATGGTAAGAAATGGCATTGGCTGAATTAGGAAGATTAAGCTTTGTGCACAACTAGATAGAAATACTATTATCCTTATAGCAGGGAATAGTAACAAAACCATACGTTATTTCCAAAGATGCAAAACTCCCATATTTCCTAACAGGCACGGCAGTGTTGTAAATGAATTAAAATCATAATTCCTAACTACTAAAGGTAGTGAAACTTTTTATTTTGACTAGAAATAAAAAAACTGTCTTCAGAATTGAAAATTTCCAATCCTGTTTTAGTTATCAAGAAGCAGTTTTAGCCTAGTTCCCTAGTTTAAAACTTTTCATTTAAAAATTTATAATCGAAATGTAACCCCTTAAAAATTTTATTGGCCCAACCCCAATAAAACCCCATCCAATCTCTCATTCATTCATACTTCGTCTTTTTTTACAAAAACATGAATGAAGAGGAATATTGGGCAAGTTCCTTAAGCTTATCGATTGGCGTCGGTATCTATCAGGCCGTTCCTAAACTAATCAATGAACCCATAAATAAAATTTAGCGTGTTTCTCAATTTATCGATTGAATCACCAATGGGTCAGCCGTTTCATTCGCATAGATGAATACCCTGGATGTAACTTCATTATAACCTCAGTAAAGTTATTTCTTAATTCACTTTATATGTTTATTTTAAATTTACTTTCTTCTTATTTTGAGACATCCGATAACCAGTCTCTGAACTGCTTTCAAAAGAGCCAGATACAAGGTTTGTATCTTTTGTAGCCTTGATGAAGACCTACAACGTAGGTCGAAACGTTGGCAAATCCAATAAAAGACTATTTTGATATGTATGATCACACCACTGACCAACTCCTTAAATTTAATTTTTGTCTATTTATATTTCTGTTGTAGAACTCAACAATTCAATAGGTAAATATTTTCTTAGATATCTTATTTTTCATACATTTCATAACTTTCCTGTAGTGGCAATCTTCCGCTGGAATCCAGCGGGTAGTTCCTAAACTCAGCATAAATCTGTGTCCGAAATAAATCGGCAACACGATTCAATCGATGGAATTGGCGCTCAGTTTAGGAACTTGTCCATATTGTAAATTATTATATCAACGTTCTTTTTTAACTATACATTTCTTTATTAAATTAAGACGGAATATGAATGAAAAAAGTACTCTAGGCATTTTAAGAATCAAAAGGTATGAAGATAAATTCCTTAAAAAGTTGGGAAATGCTAAAGTTAGAAGTAATTGAAATTTAATAAAGTAATTTATTATTAAAGAAGATTATTAAAACCAAAATACCTGAATGAATTCCTCCTTATATCATTATCGTCAAAATAGATTACAATTAACGTGAGAATAGTGATTACTGCAATCTAGAATAAGAATAAGTAAATTAAGATTATTTTATGACTAACTCAATGACTCCATTCGTCTTCTTCAATCAAGAGTACTGTTTTAAAGTATAAATATTATAGATTTGAATACAATCCAAGAGAACATTTTTTCTTTAAAATATCTGATACCTGGGAGAAGAAGAAACAAACCTAAAAACAAGTTTTTTTGGAAGCTTATTATTTATTTGTATTTACCTAAAAAAATAAATAATCAAACAGCCATTTCGAAGGCAGTGGACGAGTTGCGCACTGTTGATTAAGGTTAAAAACAATGCCTGTCAGTTGGTGGTGATCTTATAATACTCTGTTGTTATCATTAATGGGACTTACTAAGTCCAGGGATATGGCTAGAGCAATAGACAACAGAGCTGCTGAGGAAGTATCAGGATCCGAAGATGGTTCTGACAGTGAATCTGATCTTGCATCTATTCTACAATATTTGATTAGGAGGTAAATTTATTTTTATGCTTAGAATGTACTTTAACTGCTTATTTATTATGGTACTTTGATTCTTAATGTGAATTTATATCAGTTGGTGTATACAATGAATCTTCTCATTAACAAAACATTTTATTTTTCACTCGACATTGATATGAACCCACAAGCCGAATTTTAAATGAGTAATTATTCATTTGCTATTTTGAATATATTTTGTTTAATACTATAAGGCCCATATCATTATTTAAAACATGTTTTATATTACGTATTCATAAATATCATTTAATTTCACAGATCTAAAGATTTTTCTCTTTATCAGTGGTTTCATTTTACAGTTTTGACTATAGACAATTACCATTGTAAATTAATTAAGAACAGTCGTAATGACATTTTTGAACTCTTATGTTATGTTAATTCATAAATATAATTGAAATATTTCATTAATTTAAAAAAAATGTTTTGAAAAATATACTTATTACTTTTTGTGTACATGGTTAAAGAGTGAATTTTCCCTTCTGATAGAGTATTAGAGATAAATCCTAGTTGATAACAATATCTTTGACTTAGGTTTGTATGTACCTGAAGGGATTGTACCTGTAGCAGACCTGTTTTTAAATTGTGTTATTACTTTTGAGATGGCTTTGTGACTTGAAATATTAATTGTGTACTATTCAGTTAAGATCTGATCTGGTGTAATGATTAACTATATTTGTTAACAAAGAATTATTAATAATAACTAATTTATATGAAGTTTGATACTTTCATTAGGATTATTTGTTAATACTCAATGTTTGTTTATGTTTTGAGTTGCACCATATATATTCATCTCTTAAGTAGAGGGATATATTTTATATGTATAATATCTTTTTCTTAAAATACTAATTTCATTTTATTATTTTTTTAATTAGAAATGAATTATTCAGTTGTTGAATCAATTACATTTTTTGTAAAAAGAATTTATCTTTAATTTATCATTCTTGCTATTTTTGGGGAATTTTATTTAAGTTAAATTTGCTTAACTTGATAATAATTATTGTTTACTACTACATTTAGCATTGTAATAATACTTCTTAGTTATTTAAATAAAAGATTTCTCATATTTACTTTTCTTTATCGTTTCGTTAATCTAATATAGTTTTACGTATAGTGATTTTTTAAAATTAAATCCAGTCTTTGATAACAGATAAATGGATATCATTTTGTGAAGTCTTTCATACATATCCATATGCAGAAAAAAGATAATAATAAAAAATAAATAATAAAATAAAAATCAGGTAAGAAATTGTGGTTGGGTAGTATCATTTAGGAAAGCGAAAAAGATTTGTAGAAGGCAAGAAATTAGTTTCTAACAAACGTATCTAACCTGTTTTGGGTGATTTTTTTAATTTGATACACACTCATGCTTCCTGTAGTTATAAGAATCCCTCATTTTTTTAAATTAAAAACAGTATGACCAAAATTTGCAGTGTCTCGTTTCAATCACTGTATTCGATAAAAAACAGCTAGCAATATGCCATGGCAACAAATCCATCTTGTATATCTAAGAGAACAAACAATGAAAAATTACCTCCAGAAGTTAAAAAAAAAAAAAAATGGAAATAAGTTAATTCTTAAAAAAATAAAATAAATACAGTTGCAATGTGCTAGAGATTTTACCCATATTTATACATACCAATAATTGACAAATTCTGATCTTCCGTACACAATTGTTATTAACTGTATTTCAAATTACTTACATTTGAATGTTTCAGCGATTAACCATTTTCAGTAGATCTGCATATTTATTTTTTAAATTAATCCATGTGCATAAATGATTACAATTTTATTTGTCAAGATACAATTGCCAATTTTCAATATAGCAATAGTTTTAAAAAGTTTTAGCTTGATATAGTCAATGTAAATTATTGTCATGTTTTTTGTTTTAATGTTTTATTGAATTATTAATGATAATAGTTAATTTCTAATAATCGTGGTTTTAAAAAAACGGTAGTCATTTGATGTTGGTTATCTTTCTTTAATGCTTTAAAAAAAGAGATATTTAAAGTAATATCTAAAATTTTGATAGTTTTCTGTATTAATTTTATAAAATAAAGTAAGATTTTTATAGCTGTTTGCGATTCTTGTTTTAACATTAATATAAACTTCAAATTCCATGTTAATTCTCTACTTGAAGGTAAAAGATGATTATTGCTGTAATAGTAAATATTTTGTATGCACATTGGGTCTCTAGATGATGTGTTATCAGTAACAATTGGATTTTAATATTATTACTTAAAGTTGAATAAATTTTAATATTTGTAAGAAGAAATAATAAAATAAGATATTAAGAATAAACAAATAAAAAATATAGATTACAGATGAGACTTGAGAGATGTGAACTGGAAAAATTAAAATAAAATAAATATATCAAAATTTAAATCATTGTTTAGGAAACTAAAGATAACTGAAAACTCATAAATTATGTTCCGTACTGATGCAGCTTCAGTGTTGCTATCACTCAGGTCAAAGTGGAGCAAAAGTCTGAGAAAACTTGCCAAAAAGCTTATGATTTAATAGATAGATTTATTTGTTATTTTATCTCTGTTAAATGGTCTGCTCATATTAATATTCTTGAATTGATAAAATGTCATTATAAACTGTAATTCATGTTGAATATTAGAGAATCATACTTAGATTAATTTCATTTTTGATTGTTGTATGCCAGTGGCCAAGTAAGGATTTTGGGAAGGGACCAGCCATATCTTGGGTCGTATCCTAAACCGCCAGTTGCTGGAGCTCCCAACTTGGATAACTTTCACGTTAGTACTGAATTAATTTTATTTATAATAAATAATAATGCATATTGCATTTATTTATTGTTCTATTTTATTTTTAGAAAAGTGAAATATGCTTTATTACCAAACAATCTTGTGGGTTGCTACCAAGATGTCCGAGGACCATCTCAAAGACAAAATGCCCAAGCAAATCGATTACCGATATGATAAAAAATCGAGAGGTAACATTCAATTATTCACTCTTGAACGTATAGAGTTTATTTGTCATAATATTTGATCTTTAATCAGTAATTGTAACCTACTCATCTCAATTCTCTTATTTTCCTGGTTCAATTTATTTTTTTCCAGAGTGGGCAACTGAGAGGATTGGGATTCTCCCAAGGTGATAAGTGCATTATTGGTAATTCCAAACTACCTACAAGAATGAAAAATGTGGATACATATGAGAACAAAGCATTTTGTGGAATTTACTCTCACGACGGTAATACACTTCTTACAGCTTCTCAAGGTAGGCGAAATGATCTCTATTTTATTTTTATTTTTTTCCCGCTAATATAAACATGAAAATGGTTAAACAGTTGCAATTTTTAGCTAGATTAACTCTTGTAAAGGTCATAAATTAAGTGCAGGGACAATCGTTTAAACTGGTTGAGACGAACTTAACAGTCTATACGTGAACAAATAAAGAAAAATATTAAATTATCTAGACGAATACTTTAAAAAAAAGGTAAATGCTTTTGCGATTCTTTTTGTTCAGAATAGGGTTGCCAGACGTCCTCTTTCGGTGGGACGTCCTACTATTCATATGGACTGTCCTATGTTGGTTACCAAGTGCCTAACTTTCATATTAGAGGTGCATTTTATATTTTAAATTATTTAAATCTAAACTATATTTCATTATATATGTTTCTCATAATATCGTTCCTGACAAAAAATACCAAGTATCTATAAGCTCTTCAAGAACTTATTTAGTGACCATAAAGACGCTAAAATATATCTTAGGTTTTATCTGTGGGTGTAATATATATGTATCAATTTTTTTATTTTATTTTTTCATATTTTCATAATTTGTACAATAATTTAACAAAGTAATTAAAATAGAAAAACAACAACAGATATTTGTACAAAACATATGATTACAGAAAGAAAACCATCTTTAGATTTGATTTCAACTAAGATTCATAAATACCAAAATTGCTAAAAGAAGAATATGTGTTCTGTAGACCCAAAAAAAGATCTCTTGATAAGTGCGAATTCTAAAAAAAATATTTATATAACAATTTTTGAAAATATAAACTTACATGTTCTTGTTAAAATGTTGTAAGAGTGACCAAAAATATTATTTAGAAACTATTCTCTAACCCGTAAATACAGGTTTTGAATTTATAATTAGTGTTAGTAATTATATAATTTGTAAGTAATAATTAAGGGCAATGCTATTACAATTAATGTACAGTAGGTACATTAATTTTTTTGATAAAAATCTGTAATATTTTTTCACATTTCACCCTCTGCCAATATAGTACTGCCCTACTTTAGAAATTTAAAAAACCTGGCAACCCTATTGTAGAACCTACATAATATATCAATTCAAACTTTTTTAACTCAATTGATCACAAAATAAAAAAAATGTTTGTTTATTTGGGCAGTGTTGATTATAATAAGAAATTAAAACTGATTACCGCTATGCACATTAAATCAAAACAATATTACTTACAAATTAATTAGAACTCATTTAGGAAGGTGATGATATTGTTATCAATAAGGTTATGTAGCAAATTTAATGTTCCAAAGATTTAGGTAAGCTTCTGTTTTATTGGAATTGAAAGCAATTATTTTATTGCAAAGTATTTTGCATGAGAATTTTCATTACATAACCCCATAAATTCAAATTTGGGTTTTTAATTATAATAAAGATATATTCTCTTCAAATATAATGTTTAGAAACAATTTTGTTTTTCTGGAACTATTCTTTATCATAACCAATTTTATTTTGTTTATTCTAGATAGATTCATCAGGACTTATGATTGTTCTGATGGATGCAACTTCAAGGAGCTAAACATTATTCAAGGAAGAGATATCGGCTGGTCTGTTCTCGATACTGCCTTTTCCCCTGATTCCAGTAAAATAGCATATTCATCATGGTCTAATAGTTGTAAGTATTAAAACAAATTTTTAAAAATCTATAAATTACTACACAATAGTTCATTATTTTCTAATAGTTATGCATTAAATATTCGTGGCGTGATGCCCTTCACACGACTTTTCTTACCTTACTGTTCAAAGTTCAAAACAATTACCTCTGCTAATACTAAGTTTCCTACAATTGGACCAATTTGGTCTGGTTACTTGAGGAAAACCTTTTGCACAGTTCAGTTTCTCGGCCAAAGTGAGTTCATATTTTTTTTTGTTTTTTTTACAAAGATCAAGAAACTTATCTGTGTAAAAGGGCAATGAGCCTTTATATCTGAGTCTAATAAGATTCTGTGTCAATGAAATTACATAGTTAATATAAAAATCATTTCTCGTTAAGATTGCATTATTTTAATTTGAAGCAAAATGATTAAATATGAGAATATGGATTTATATATGGAATCAATTAAATAGGCTAACGAAATTGTTTTGTAACCATGTTAATTAAGAAAAGTATTCTAGGTTGTTAAAAAAATCCTTGTGCCTAAGTTTAGCTTTATTTCATATTACATATTTTAAATATTACTGAATACTACTCTTGAAAGTAAAATTCATTGTTGTCAACTACTTTCACTTAACTTTCTGCCAATAATTGGATTTGACAGTTCCACTTCTTTGGTTTTAAGGCAAAGAACTTGACATCCAAATTTTACATCCTCATAATTATCATAGATCTCAATCAATCATTATCTAATGGTGCAATATTTCGATTTTAAGCAAGATGAGGCAAAATGTTTACTGCTTTCAGTTCTAATAATTTTTCCTCGGTTAAACGAGAACGATGTGCAGGGACATAGTTAGTTTGTAAAGTGGCTTCGTTCCTGTTGACCAAAGCTGGGTGCACCTTTACCTGGTTGTACCCACTGCTTATGTTTGCTAGTGTTTTTTTTAAATTTAAATAACCGCTTTTCATCGCTTGTGATCAATTTTTCCTGAACCCACCATTTTTCAGATTTCGAAGCAAAACTTTGCACATATCAAGTTGATGCTGGGCTTGGGCCTCTGTTAAGTCATGTGGGTCGGATCTTGGTCTTAAATTCTGCACGCCCAGATTTATAAAATGAAAAGCCACTGTGGCATTAGGAGCTCCTACTACAGCCGATATATCATGAGTAGATGTATGTAGGTCATGGTCCACACATTCAAGAAGAATGTCATCATCAATAACTGATAAGCGATCTGATCTGGATTCATCTGCAAGGCTCATATTTCCATCGTCGACATGTCTGAACCAAAGTACTCCAGTATTTCAATGGATAACTGATTCTCCTTCTATGGTACAATGTTTTTTGGGGGGTCCCTTTGCATTTAAATCTTTTCTCCAGTAATGTCTCAAAGACCGCGAATCACAATTTTTTCTTCTGGTATTGCACATGCGTTTTAAAAATGTAAATGACCCCATAAATCCAACTCAAGTCACAAGGAATTAAAAGATTAGTCAAAGTAAACATTGACATAAATAGTAGGAACAAAAAAACATTCTTATAGAATTAATTATGAGAGTTGGAATTCAGGGTTGTATTCATGCTCAAGGACTTTTGTAACAACCTAGTATAAGATATACCCAGATGATAGGGAAAACCCCTAAACATATAAACAATTAAAATGTAAACATCGATAAATGAAAAAGTTTATGATTGAATATTAAATAGACTTATTTTAGTATTAATTTTGAACATATTTTTTTTTACTAATTTTAACTTTATTTTATGTTCTAGTGCATTTGGTGGACATAGCTTCTGGCGATAATGGTCGTCACGTAGCTTTGCCCCTCTGCCCAGAAGAAAGGAGGTTTTGTGTTTTCTCTCTTGTATTTTCACACTCTGGTAAAGAAATTCTCTGTGGTGCTAACGACGGTCACATGTATATTTATGATTTGACAAGAAATGACAGGAGTTTAAGGGTAACTTTTTTTTTTTTTTAGTTAAAATTATTTTATATATAATTTCTAATTTTATTATAAAAATGACTTTTAGCACAAATAACAATGAATTTATATTAACTTAGAGTTACTTGAAGCCAAACCAAAATATCTGGCGTGTCCACTCAGCCAACCTATCTTACCGCTTTTTATTGTAAAATCAAATACAAAAATTGTTTGCTCCATCTCTTCTAATATTTCTCCAATTAACATTTTATTATTAAATATATGTGTGAGTTATTAACAAAATTATAAGAATATTGATATATTATACTGAAATTTATAATTATTTTAACTCAAGGTATGGGTTACTGACAATCAGATCAATAACGCTCAGACTAAAATTAATTAACTCCTCTAAACACGGTTTGATTTTAAAATAAAGTCAAGTATGATTTTGGCAAGCTAACCTTTTTCTATTTACACTGTTTTCTCCTTTGTGGCACTGGAATTTGTCTTCAAACACTTTCCCAAGTTTTGCAAAACTTTTACTCCTTCCAAAATGGTGACACTTTCTTCTACGCAACTCGAGCTCTCTGGGAGATCCTCTCTTTTGTAATTCCAAACAACTGATTTGCCAAAACAAAAATCCTTTGTCCCTCCCTTGTGGGCGTCGCCGGAGCCCCGGCGGCGCTATGGGTGGACGGCGAGAGTGCTTGCACTGTTCGGCCGTGGCGGTCGTAGTGGTCGATGTGTTTACGACTACTCGCTGCACGACACCAGTGTTCAGCTAGCCTTGACGTTGTTCAGGCTATCTTCTGGTACAATGTGTGGACGAGTGGACGGAAGTTATGGTAGTAGTGTTCGTCTGATTCCGTGGGCACCTGTTGTGTGCCTGCATTCTTGGTGGTGTACCCGGTCCAGGGAGTTAGGTTGGAGGCCGGTTAAGGCTCGCGCTAGGTATGGCTTCCAACCGATGCTCCCTTGGTCCATAGAGTACCCGGTGGTACTATGTCCCTCCCTTGTTACGGATTTTCCTTTTAGCTTGCCTTTTAACTGTCCAACTTTAATTTATTAAACCATTTTTACCAACTTCCAATAAAGGTGAATGTTACAATATATATATATATATATTTAATATTTCTTTTTTGCTTTCAAATATGGCTGGTTAGACAACTAAATCTTTCAAAAAAGTATCTAGTCCGATTTATAGGGGGTTTTCTTTTCTTTAGGGAATTTAATTATCTTTCAAACATTAGCCTTAAATAGTAAAAAATAAAACTTCTTTTGAAATATAAAAATCTATTAAAAACCGCACTTCAAAAATTGGACCCTATTGCGATAATTCCTAGCAGCTGTTAGGAAGTAATAGCATGTATTCAAACAAAATTTAATACACAATATCATTACTAATATTAGTTTAAAATATATTTTTTTTTTTTGTTTTGTAGGTGATTTAATTATTTTTTAAAGTGTTCTTTTTGAAATGAATCATTATATGGCTACATATAATTTTCATTTGTTCATTATTGTTATTTTTTCTTTTTCTCGGAGATGTTCTACTTATAAGAAAATTAAAGGGCTTTATGTAAAAGATTACATCCACTAATGGATCCAAGATTTATTTTTTGGGGAAGCTTCAGCCCAAAAGCGTTTATATATATATAAAATAAAAATTATTAAAGAAAGGAACTAACTACCTATATGAAATGTTGTTTAAATGATTCTTGCTTATTAATTAAATGTAATTGCAGTAGCAATAATAATTTAAAAGACATTTAAAAAAAAAAATCATTAGATATGGTTATATTTTTCCATTTTGGGAAGCTTCATGTGAAATACATGACAAAAGACAGAAATAATTTAAAACCATCTTCCAGTTGGGTCCAGGTAACTCCCTGCTGGATCGAATGTAGCCTCAAGATACGATATTTATAATGTTTATTGTTGAACAGGTCGAGGCTCATGACGACGATGTGAATTCTGTCGCTTTTGCCGATGGTACTTCAAATATCATCTATAGTGGTGGCGATGATGGGTTTTGTAAAGTTTGGGACAGAAGAACGATGTCGGAAGCATCGCCTAATCCGGTGGGCATATTAGCAGGACACTTAGACGGTATAACTTACATTGATTCTCGTAATGATGGGCATCACCTTATATCCAATTCTAAAGATCAAAGTATCAAACTGTGGGATATAAGAGCAATGTCTTCAAAATCGGCTCAGGTAAGTTATTTCTATACATTATTCAGCTTTTTTTTTTTTTTTTCAATGCCAAGTTTTGCCTGTATTATTATTTTTGTTCCAAAATTTATTTTTACAAATTATCTTCATAAAAAAATAATTTGTTAAGCCTAAATCATCTTTGCCTGTCTTAAAAATAAATGCTTCTAACACCATTTTTGGATTCCCTCTTTTATTTTGCTGTGGTTAATCAGGACTTAGCTGTTACTACTGCTCCGTAAATTAATTTCAGGAATGTACAAGGAAAGCAGTCAACAGTAACAAATGGGACTACCGATGGCAAACTGCTCCACGTAAATGTAAGTCAATTATGTAGCATTATATTAAAATTAAATCCGTTGAAAATATATTAATTTATTATAGATCTATCAAGGAATATTCACATGAAGTTTTTTTTTTTATCTATTGACATTTTTATCATATTTTGTAGCTTGATAAGGAAAACATTGGTCTATTAGTTTAAATACCAGACTTCCAACTCCATATTGAATCTAGCTATAGTAGTAATGTTTTTGTTTTTTTTTCAAATTCTTTAAATACGAGATTGCAACTGACAAACATATATATTTCTTCTCATAGAACTAGATCTTTCGAAAAATACTTTATCATGCTTGTTAACTTGTTTTGGAATTCCTTAATCACATAAAGACATAAAATCTCATCTCTAACCTCTTTTAAACACCAATTATTTCTCATCCTTTCAAGAATATGTTCTCTTTATATATGATAAAGAATAATGTTCTTGTTATATTAGTGTTTCCTATTTATTATTTAACTGTTATCATTTATATATCATATAATTATTAAACGTATCTGTATTTCATTATCATTATTTATTTATAGTTGCCTTTAATCTTTATTTTATAATTTTATTATTTCTTAGTTTTGTATTTTTATCATTTTGTAATTGTTGATTTTATGCCAGACAAAAAAAAATGAAATTTCTAAATTTTCTACTAATATTCCCACACTAAAATTGACTTTATTTTTACTTTCACTTACGTATATATGTAATATATAGTAAGTGTAAGTATTGCGATCGAGAAAATTTTTTAATCTGAGTTTTCGACGGATTTATACGTTTTGAGGTACCCTGAGTCGAAATGACCAAGTCCCTTAAAATGGTCTGTGTGTTTGTATGTTAGCAGTCTAGCTCAAAAACGAAAAGTCCTATGAAACTGATATCACGTATTTAAGATAGGTATATGCCTTAGTTGTGAAGGCAACTTTTTCCTTAAAATCGGGTAACCGGAAGTGCCACTTTTTTTCTTTAGTAAAATAGTAGCTTTAATTAAAGTAACATTTTTGACTTATGTTGCAGTGATTACTCGGAAGACAAATATAAAAGGTGATACATCAATAGCTACTTACAGAGGCCATTCAGTTCTTCAGACCCTGATAAGGTGCCATTTCTCCCCACAGTTTTCTACTGGTCAGAGATACATTGTGACTGGATGTGCTTTTGGTAGAATTGTTGGTAAGTTGCAATTTTACTTTATTTACTAAAGTAATGCTTTGATCCCTTAGTGATTAACTCTATTGGGATAGAATTAATTGTTTTCTTAATACATCCACCCTTTATATTATATTTTTTAGTTGATTTTTGGCATTAATTTTAAATTTCATCATATTTATTTATTTTTTAGTTTACGATGTATTGACTGGAAATATTATACTAAAGTTACGAGGTCATTCTTCATGTGTCCGTGATGTCTCATGGCACCCATACAGACCTGAAATAATCAGTAGCTCAGTGAGTAACTTTTACTTTTAATAATTGCACTAATTTTAAAAATTTATCTTAATATATTACAATAAGAAATCGTTTATTGAATGGAGACTAATGAACCAGTCTTTTTTGAGATTCGGTAACAATGTCTAAGTGTAACCTAGGATGATCTTGGCATTATTATCCACCACTTTCCCCTATTCTGTATCTGTAATTTGTCCTAAAGGGACAACAGTCCCAGGATAATAAAAAAATATTTTCATTTCATTCATTCATTTCATTTCACTTTCTTTCAAGTTGGTGCCCAAAAAACATGTGTAGCTATTGGCTGTAACACCTAAACTAATGTACCAATTTTAATGAAACTTGGCCAAAGCCTTCTCCTCGAAGCCCTTTATGTATTTAAATTAAATTAAATTATTAATAAATTTAATTATTAATAAATTAAATTTATGTATATAACATTCTTCACTGTAAAGTATTTTCCTATCAAGATGGCTGCCAAAAACACCTCCTGTACCTTATCTTTTGAAAATTAACCAAATTTCAACCAAAAAAAAAAAACAATAAAAGAATTTCTAATTTCTTTTATTCAAGCCAACATTACACCGATGTATTCAATTCAAATTCCTACTACGACGTTTCGGCTCGTCGAGCCATTTTGAAGTCTAAAAGCAATTTTTTCAATTTACAATCATTTCTAATAATTTTCGGTGCATAATTATTCCTATAATCATTGATACATTCTAAAAAACACATATTTCAAAATATAAATTTATTTTATAATTGCCTATCATGTACTTGTCCATTATATTTATTATGTAAAATACATGCTTCTTCTCATTATAGCCAGTATCACGTTCGTCATGTCTATTTTTAACCATTATATTGCATTATTATTATAAAAATTTTATTCTTATTAAAAGATTTATATCATGTTAAATTACCATGTCAACCCACATGTCAGTTTCATTATTATGGAGCGACTAGTTGATATTATAGGAAGATTATTTATTTATATATATATATATATATATATATATATATATATATATATATATATATATATATATATATATATACATACATACATATACATATATAGAATATTAAGAATAAAAGAATTGAAATCAGTCCATTTGGCGCATAAATATGTTGTTCTAAATAATTTCTTCATGTTATGCTGCCGAGTTGATATCCTTTGTTTTTATTTTTGGAAAGTATTATATCACCTGAAGCAATTTTTTAGCATATTACTAATGATGAAAAAAAAAAAAAGACACGTTTTGAGGTCCCCTGAGTCTAAATAACCAAGTAAGTCCCGCAAAATGGTGTGTGTGTATGTTAACAGTCTAGCTCAAAAACGAAAATTCGTATGAAAGTGAAATTGCTTATTTAAAGTTTTTATATGCTAGGGATGTTACATCAACTTTTTCATCAAAATCGGCCAACCAGAAGTGGCACTTTATACCATGGACTAAACACATTTTTACGATTTTCTCGAAAACGGCTCTAATTATTTTGATTAAATTCATTATCTCAGCGTTAAATTAAGAAATTTTAAATAAAATGTAATTTTTATTATGTAACTTTAAATAAGCAATTTCACTTTCATACGACTTTTCGTTTTTGAGCTAGACTGTCAATATTAGCTTTCCCTGAAGTGCCTTTAATTTTGAAGAGAAGGATGTTTGGGGTGATCAGCCAGAAATAAACAGGCAAAAATAAATAATATTATGATATCATTATTTATTTTTGCCTTTTTATTTCTGACTGATCCCCCCAACCATCCTTCTCTTCATTATTCACGACATTCAACCATCAACCCACAATTAACTTTAATTTTTTTTATTTCAAACAATTGGCCATTTCACATTAATCTCTAATATAAAAGATGAAAGACTTTGATAATTAACTAAAGGAGAAATAAGAGATTGTAAGGGAGAATAGTTGTAATTGAGGAACCAAAAGAATACGAGACCACCCGAAAGATTAGAACACGCTTCCAAACTGAACATGAGCTTAACATAATACAGTCTCCTACAATGTATCATATAAATATACATATGCAGTTTTAAGAAGTGCTATTGTTAGTTTTAATTTAATATTTAATTGTATAGGTTATAGTGATATATAAATATTAAAATTTGTATGTATAAAGGTAAGGTACTTATACAAATAAAAATACCCACAATGAAATATAAATAAATATAGCGTTTATAATTTTTACTTTCACTTCCCCTTTGTATCAAAATACTTATAAAAGTAATAGTGGTACCTCAATGAAGGGTCTCTGCTCCCTTTTAAATAATTTTATTTACAAATTACTTGTTTCTCTTTAAATTACAGTGGGACTTCTCGGTTGTATGTTGGAACCATCATGGAATAAACAACGATACTTCAGAAATTGATTCAAGGACCTCGATTTGGGAGGATGAAGAAGAGGATTGGAACTCCACGCAGCATTTGCGCAGATCACGCAGGATTGCTGAAAGAGCTACAACTTTTAATATCGCTTCATAACTTGGTAAGTTATTTCTTAATCATGATAGGACTCGTTACAAAACTAATCATTTTTATCATAGTCTTTATTTATTTATTTTTTTTTTTTTCAGATTTGTAAATATATACACCACAGAATGCTAGAAGTCTTTTAAGGAAGAACTGATAATGTAAATTTGTTTTAATTTGATTATCCCCATATCTTTTTAAATCCTAACTCTATCTTTTAATAATTCAGTCCCTTTCTTGGTTCAATTTCACTCCTAAAATAGAGCATATGAATGTATTAGATAAAAAAAAAAAAAAAAAAAAAACAAAGAAAGAAATTGTGATATAAAATTTTGTATGTATGTATGTATGTTTGTAAAAAGAAGATACAAAGGGAGAGAAAGAGAGAGATGTGTATATACATGAGAAATGTGTATATACATAATAAAGTGTATATAAATTTTAAAATATTTACAGTTATTGTCGAATTCACCAAGTTTTCAGTGCCTTTTTTTCTTAAGTATTTTTAATACTTATATAAGTTAAGATGAAAGTGAGACCGTAATTTGAAATTAAGGTATAATAATGGTGAGATGTTTTCATTATTTTAAAAATATTTTATTACCCTTAGATTTAGATAATCGTAGCTACAGATTGTTACCTTTTTATTTTTTATTTTGACTTCATTATCCTGTTTGTAAATTTAAAAAAATATATCCAAGATCGCTCTATTAAATTTGTAGTTTGTTTATTTTTGTTTTCGATTTTGGAATTGGGTAATTGCATGATTTTTTTTTTTTTTTTATGTGTCGATAAAGATTAGGTTATAAAAACAACAAAACTCAGCAATTTTTCTGATTCATATTTGCTATAATAATCAGCGTTAAGGGAAAATGGTGGAGATGGATCTAGGTAAAGGCAGTGGAGACATGGCTATATCATGACATGTCAGCATCTAGCTTAGGGGTACCAACCTTTTTTCACCTTCGGACACATTTGTAAGTCAGCTGTCGGGCCTCGAGTTTTTATTTTATTGTGCAATTAGTGAATGTACATTGCAAGTAGGTCACTGTTTATACTATTTAAAAATAAATAAATACGTTTCATAAAAACACCTTTATTATTTCCAAGACTAGCAGTGTTACCAACAGTGTCATTCATGTTTTTATTGCCAAAAAAAGATTAAACAAAACAATAGTGATGTTATATCAATTAACGAATTATTGTTTTCAATTAGTTCACTTATGTCTCTCCTTGAATTTTATGTATCGCTACTCTTATTACAAAAGATCGTATGTAACAATTTTTTATGTTAATACGATTTGTGCTAAAGATGACATTTTGTAGTCTGCCACTGTAATAAATAGTCTACTACTACGGATAATAATATAGGGAAATAAAATATGAAATTGTACTCATAAAGAAATAATCAGTTTGTATGCTCTTGGAAGTAAGCTATTTAAAAACTCATTTAAATTCGATTTATTAAAAACTCATTAAACGCATATCATATCTGCATATATAACGCATATCAGACGCATTGTTATTTAAAGTCCTTAGTGAACTATGAACCTTTTTTTTATTATTTGAAAGTGCAATCTCAATCTTATATATATTTATTATTATCTTATTATATACATTTATTATATATATATATACGGTAACAAATTTATTAAAAACTCATTTGAATTCGATCTATTAAAAACTCATTTATCTGTAGCATGCCACATAAAACAATAATGATAATTGAAAAATTGAAAAACACAAAATACTATGATATTATTAAATTAATATTTTCAAATTAATCGTTCATACTTCCAATCAATTATTAATGTTTATTAAAATATGTATTGATATTTTATTGAAAACATCTGCAGCTGGCAATAGTAAAATTGTTGTCAAGGTGATCGCCAATAAAGTTTCTGTTCAGCGATTCTACCATTTTTTTTTTTTAATTTCCCTTTTGGATAGTCAGATTTTTCCTTTTTCTTTTCTCAAAACATCAAATTTAAACATCCCTTCAGCCCAAATATATGCAAAATAATATATAATATTATATGTAACTTCTCATTTTGTCTGTTTTATTGCACATATATTATTTTCAAAAAAATAGATTAAACTGCTTAAATTAGGCTTTGATTGATAAAAGTTGTTTCTCCTCCCAGCTATAGATTTTTCCTAAAAAGATAACCTTTTCACCAAAATAGAAACCTTGGTTATGTTCGGCTTAAGCTGGCATACTAGCTCTAAGTTGGCGCCACTTATCTAGTTCATATTTTTTATTATATCTTATTTTTTAGCCTAGAATAGCATTTCTAGCTTTATGACTTTCAATCGAGATATATCTTTCTGTTTTTTCTTATGAGACGCATTGTTATTTAAAGTCCTTAGTGAAATATGAACCTTTTTATTATTTGAAAGTGCAATCTCAATCTTGTATTTATTCTTTATCACTTTAATTTTATTGTACCTCAAATTTTACTTGAATTACCATGCAAGTAACCAATTTCAATATCATTCAAATATATTTTTGTTAATTTTCTACAAACGCTCGCCTAAAAGTCATGAATATACAACTAATGTCATCTTGCATTTTTTTTTTTCTTTTTTTTTTTTGTTACTGCCACTGAAATACAGTTTCAGAATGTCTGTTTCTTCTATAGTAATATTATAATATTGTAAAGGTAACATCACCTTTGCAAAATTAGCAAAAAGTGTATTTCAGCAGCAAGATCAAACTTATGTTATGGTTTCTAACAAATGGTAAAGAAAGGTAAATTATGATAAAATCACTAAATAATGGGAAATATTTTTATTTTTGTAAAGAAACCAATTGTTTCTTTGTTATAATCAAACCTATCTTCACCACCATGTTTAAGTAACGAATGTGAGAATCTGCCTTAGATTGTAAAGAAGAATGTAAAGTTTCAATCATATATCTATCAAAGCCATGAATTCATAAAAATTATATTACTGATTCCGGTTGGCGTTCAAATTCAACATTTTGCCACCAGGTGGGCCTTGGTAGTGCCCTGGTAAATGATCAAAATTAAAAAATGTTATTTTTCATTGTTACTTTAATATGGTACGGCCGATTTGTTCAATTGAATTGTTTATTTTCAAAGTGAGCCCTAATCGTCATTGATAAATTTTAAGGAAACACGAAAAACTTTATTTTCTATTCCAATTATTATATCAAAACCAATATTTACTATAAAATTAAATAAATACTTTATTTGTTGCGTATATAAAGTTGCAAATCATTGATTATTTTAATAGTAATTAAAAAAGATTGAAACATGAATAGGACCGCTTTTGGAATGAATTAAATTTAAAGGCATGTTTTAGAACAAAAAGGGGTGAGATTTGGTTTGGTGAGAGAAAATGGTGTATGATTTGATTTACATTTTTTATATTTTACTATAAAAATTAATTAATTTTTTTTTAAATAATAAGGAATGCAAGGATCATTTCAATCTGTGAGAGAGGGGAAAAAAAGTCAATTTTGGAAATAAACTTATTTTCAAACCACTTAGTTTATTTTTTATTTATTAAACAGATTTAGGTTAGTTTTGTAAAAATTGTACTATCTGATTCATTTGGTATTTTCACATATAGAAATCGATACTTATCTCAGTTTCCAAAATATCTATTAGAGTTCACTTTGGAAGTGAGCGACTCAATTAAAGCTCATAATTCCAAAACAAGGCAAATCTATTATTATAAGTTTTTACAGCTGCTTGCTAAAGGCCATGGTTTGCTGTTATGAATGCACAACTGGTTTTTGTTTTTTTGTGTATTTCCACTTCTGCCTATCTATATTAATAACAAAAATATTCAAGACAAAAATTAAATTTACTTGGATCAGCCAGCCAAAAAATTTTTGGATTTGGCTAGTTTTGGAAGACCATTAAAAAAATATCTATGTATCTGTATAATATTTAACCACATGTATTCATTGTAATTAATGTTTTAATTATATTTCCTATTTAGAGGAAGATAAGGTAATGTATTTAACACATAAATAAATCAAACAATAAAAATGTTTTATAAAGATAAAACATGATAGACATTTTTTTTAATGATCATTACAATTTCTTTACTTTACAAAAATAAGTTATATTGCAAAATTATTTGGATAAGTAAGTACAATATCTTATATTGATAACCCTTAAAAATTAAGTTAAAAGTACATAAATAGTTTAAGACAATACTCATCACAAATATATGGTATTGCTAAAAAGACCCACCTTCAAAAACTTCAAACCTTCCAATCAAAATTATTGCGACTCATAACAAAAGCACGATGGTACGTGACTAACAAAACTCTACATACTGACCTCCATCTTCCAACAGTTGATCAACTTAATAACAACCCAACGATTTTATACTAATTTAAACGAACATCATAGCAGATTAATAAGAGACATGGCCACAGCTGACGTACTCCAGGAGGAGACTGAAAAGGTGTTGGATGAGAGATCTTCATTAAACTACCTAAATAAGTGAAACAAGTCAGAGAATAGGTGTTGCTGATAACTTTCCTTCCCCATGCTTGACATGTCATTTATATCTTTGTATTTACAGTACATTTGCTGATTGTTAACAAAAGTTAAGAGGTGCAAATCAATTTTTATAGCAAAAACAAAATTTAAAAACAATTCCTTATAGAGTCCTAAAGTAGACAAAAATAAGAAATAAAACACTTTAAGAATAAACTTAATAATACTAACTTAATAATTAAATAACAAGGTTAATGTCTAATTCTTTCACTTCATATTAATATATAACAAAAACTGGTTAAGAAATATATATTTAATAAAATAGATTTGGTTGAGCTTAAAATTATCTGCCTTATTTTTGTTTTTTAATTTTGTATTAATTATTTATTAAAATACTATCAGTTTATGAATCTATTAACCTGTTTTTTATTATCAGGGTCTTACAAAAAATCAGCTATGAAAATTAAGTATTATGTACATTTAAGTAAAGTAAAGGTAGTTAAAAAATTGAATAATTATGTATTACTAGTAAAAGAAATAAATATAAGAGAAGACAAGAAAATTTTGATTTTTGTAAACAAAATTTAATTATTGTAATTTGCTTTAACTCTTCCATTTGTAAAGGAGGGTTTTATTACATATTACTTAAGTAATTTTAGCCAGAATAAGAAGATTAAAATAAAATTCAACCCTCATAAGAAAAACTTCATATTATCCTTCACCATAGACACAAACTTTCCATTTTGATTGGAGGAATGGACCAAAAAATGGTGAGAGTTTATGAATATATAAAATTCAAAATAGTTATTATGAAACGAACAAATCTAATACTGAATATTCAAAAATAAATTTATATATATGTTTATGTAGTTGTAGGTTTTATTTATTTTTTTATGCATATGGATCTATTTGTAAATATCTGAAGAAAACAATTGAATATATTACATAATAATAGGGAATAAGAATATTACATGTAAATAAATGAAGCAGTGACTGAATCATAAAATTCTAGGATATATTTCTATATATTATTATATTTTAAAATAATAGAAAAATTTAGGTCATGATAAAATAGTAACATACCTACTCCTAGGTTTTAGCCAAGCCAACTATTCGACTTTTCTTAATCTTTTTTAGTTTATAAGGGTACTAATTGCCGTATTGCCTTCAGCAGTGACAGACGGAATGCCCTGAAGAAGACCTACAACGCAGGCCAAAACGTTGGACAATGAAATTAATATAGTATTTTTTTTAGCGCACCCCCAACCAACTTCTGAAAAAATTATATATATTTTATTTATTATTAATTATAATTTTTTTACTTTAAATTATTGGGGAGCGAAACAATATTCTTGCATCTTCAATATTTTTACTGGAGGTATAATTTCTGCCCTCAAAGTATCAAAGGCTCTTCACTACTTTTCTGCTGCAAATAAATTCCATCTATTTTGTTTTCTTATGTAAGTCCTTATTTTTTCGTCATAAAATTGAGTTGGATGAAAAATTAAAATGGATTTACTTTATAGATTTTAAAATCTATAACTCATTTGTTTTGAAAAGAAATTTATAGGAAATATTTCTATGAGACTACTAAGTTTTTGTCAAATTCAGAGTTTTAATTAAAATAGTAAATAATTTGGTAGCCCTTCGTGATGAAGGCCCAAAACTAAGCAAAAATGTCGGTACATAGAAAATAATTTTTATTTTTAAAATTTTACTGTTTTTTGCACGGTTAACGATCTTGATATTTGATTGGACTAAAACTATACCGTTATTTTAATTAAATAACCGGTTATTTATATCTACTCAAGTCAGTTATTTTCATGAAGTAACCGCGTACTCTTAACGTAACGTGCTTTAACTTTCAGAGAGTAACCTTGAAGGCCGCAGAAGCTTACCTGACCTACCGCACGTCCAGTTGGGATGTGCGTAGTTCTTTGTCATTGCCATCTCAAGGTCTTAATATCCTTCTAGTTTTAGAGGGTCCAATCCCTCGGAAATTAAACAATAAATCAGTGAGTATTATGTGTCAAAAATATTCCTTAATTACACATAATGGTTTAATAAGACACATTTCGAATATGATCAATAGTTTAACATGTCCCTTTCGAAACAGTCTGAGGGACCCATAAGTGGTTATTATTATTGAAACAATATGAAATTTCATCAACTGTTTACTGTGTAAGGACTACATTATAGAAATGGTTGATATAATTAAGAAAAAAAAAATTGTTGAAGGAGTGTCAATATTACTGCAACTGTAAAGCCTATATTAAGCAATTTTAAATGAATCTCGACCTAGGGATGAGCTGGCAGCACATACGATATTTCGGGGGCACTTCGCGTGTGGGAGAGGGGATTCCCTCACATCCCCCTCCCCAATTTTTAATTTTTTAAAAAGACAAATGAGAATATTTAATTTACTTTAAATGTTTCAAAATAGCCTCTCTTTTTTTTCTTTTTTTTTTTTTGTCAAATTCCTTTTTTTCATTTTTATGTAATATTTAATAACAACTGTTTTAAATAGAAAACACTGCAAATTATTTCACAATGGTTTATTATTTACAAACAACTATACATCTAAAGTAACATTACCTTCCTAGTTAAAAAGAAAAAGAAATAAAAGGTGATCCCAATTATTGGACTAAACTTTTATTTTTAATCGTTTAGGAGTTACAGTCTATAGCAACGCAGGTTTTTCTTCCGCCATTTTGAAAGTAAAAGGCGGATAGTAATGTCGATGAAGGAGGATCATCCTCGGGTGACCTCTGATTTTATATCCAAATTTGAAAAAAATCTGCCCAGTAGTTTCGGAGAAAATGCGTGGACGGCAGACGGACAAAAATTTTTTATTCATTTTTCGAATTCTACGCATCTTGAAACGTGAACCCTCAAATTTTGAGAGGAGGTTAAGTTTTTTGGTCACAATGGTTGATTATTGAAAATAATCAACCAAAAAAGTAATCATTAAATATTAAACAATAAGAAAAGAACCAATTTGAGGCAATAAAACGTCTTAATCACTTTGAATAAAATAAACTCTAAAATCACCCAAATATTACGGTTACTTTATTGAGTGAATAAAATATAAAATACATTATAGAATGCCTTGGTTATGAATCAAGTAATTAGAGTAATATGAAATTCACTATTATTCATGTTCAGTAAATTAAAAAAACTAACTACTATTTTGGAAAATGCAAGATTTTAACTAATATAATATTGCATTAATATTATTGCGAGGTTTGAAGAACTTCAATGAACTTACCATTTATTTAGTTTTAGAAAGTAAAAACTATTGAGTTATTTTAAAATTATAACGAACTCTCTTCAGAAGATTTGTTAAAACCTATAATCACTAGGATTCAGGATTTAATTTTGGGAGGGCATCAGCCCGGAAGCTTTTTTTTCATATAACGATAATTACCTTGGAAAAACAAAAAAATACTAACCACCTATATGAAATGGTGTTTAAGTGATACTTAAAGTCCTATTAAATGTAATTAAACGAGAAATAATACTTTTAAGACTAATTTTTTAATATTTTTTACCATAAAACATGGTCACATTTTACCATTTTTGGGGGGGGGGGAGAGAGAGGCTTCAGCCCGAAAGCCTCCTCTTCCGTAGATCTGCCTGTGCCTATAATTAATTAAGAGATTCCTCCTCCCAAGATTAAGTTCAGTTTCTCCCCATAAACGTCAATTTAGTTTCACATAGAATATATATATTTGTGCGATAAAATGCTTACATATATATTTTCACATGTCGTTTATAATTTCTTTATGAGAGTAAATATTATGTTGCCGGTCTGGCTCCGTTTGGGACCCTCGGCAAGCTTCTGAAGTATGGCTCCCTTATCAGGAGAATATACATATAAATGGTTTCTAGGGATTTAAATAAATTGGTAATAAATTAAAATTATTTTGGGGGCCAAACATACCAAAGTACTAAATAAATACAAAATAAATCTTTGGGCCCTCAGAAGGGGGCCCTTAAGGGCCGCCCCTCTTTGGCGGTAAAAAGGAAAAAACATTTATGTTGATGTCATATCGAAGGGGCCCTAAAAATGTGTGGAAATAAAAGAATACAAACAAATTATTTTGGAGGCCAAATGTACAACGGTACTAGATAAATATAAAATAACGATATACAGAGTTCTCAAAGGGGAGCCCTTCCAATCATTCTACGGCGGTAAAAAAGTACAAAACATTTAAGTTGGTGACACATTGAAGGGGCCCCAAAAACATCAACTGAAATAAACGAATACAAAACAAAATAATTATTTTTGTGGCCAAACATAATTATTATTATAAAATGGCCAAACGGTACTAGATAAGTACAAAACAATGATCTTCGGGCCCTCAGAGGGAGACCCCTAATCATTATACTGTAACAAAAACATTTATGTTGTGCTCCACCGGAGGGATCCAAAAAAATTTGCAAAAATAAACGAACATAAAACAATTATTTTTGAGGTACTAGAAATATATAGAACAATGATTTTGGGCACCCAAAGACCCTCGGCGATCGCAGACTAGCCAACCTGGCTTATTATCGCTCCTCACCAAGAAAGTAGTTCTATTCAAAACGCAATTGTGCACAGCAGAGGTGCCCCCTCCCCCAAGGTCAATGGTGCAAGAACCTACCCCCTCTCCTCCCAAAATATTTTATTTCATATTTTCTTAAAAACAGAGCAGGGAGAAGTAGAATTAGAAAAATCATAAATGAAACTTTTCATTCCGAAAATTCATAACCTCTTTGAAATGCGCCCCCCTCAAAAATTCGAAAACCCTTTAAAATATGCTCCCCTCAAAAATTTTGATGGCTCAACTTGCGCAATCCAAGATCGAAGGCGCATGATCCTCCCCCATCTTCTTCCCCCAAGATATTTTGTTGCTCTCCTCCTTTTAAATACAATAGAAATAAAAACTTGCTGAGGTTTGTTCCATGTATTCCCTTTGACTCCTTGTTTGAAACTTTTCAACCCCAAAATTCTCAACTACGACGAAATGTGTCCTCTCAAAAATTCAAAATGCGTCCCCCTCAAAAATTGTGATGGCGCAATGTTCCATGAAACCCCCTAGTGTGCATATTAATGAACTGATATAACATACATATTTAAACGTTTACGGCGTATATAAATGTCTATAACATCAAAAATCCGAAATGGAGTCCTTATTCTACGACGAGTTCCAACTTTATTAGTTGCTTCTTGGCCAGTCTTCACGATTGAATCCTACACAATATAATACGCTCAATAATAATGAATATTTTCCAAAGGATATAAATGAACGAAGAATTTTACTAAAGTGTAGTGATAACAATTGACGTGTTCTATCAAATACTATTCCTTTTTAAAACCCACCGGTTCGATTCTCTTTTGAAAATAAATATTAATTCGTTCTGAAGATAGTTATAATTCAAGTCGATTTAACCAAATGATTACGGATTCATTATTTAAAAGCCTTTTATATTTATCAGAATTAAATTACTTTTAAAGAATCTTGATAATTATCAGTCCAATTCTACTTACATGCTTGATAATATTGATATCATATATTACTGATATGATTGTCAAATTCGCCGGATTGATTCTTGAAGAATAGGTTTTGAAAATCTCATCAGATAACATTAAAAATTACATATATTTTTAGTTAACCTAAAGTGATTATATGAAGGTAAATTAAGATAGTAGGGGTTGAGACTAGAGGTGAACGCCATTTTAAACCGTGAGTAGTAACTGTATAGGCAACAGTTATTAACCTTACCGTCTTGTTAGTGAAGTTTTACATAAGCTGTTTTTATTTCAGATCCGTATAATTTTTCCTTCCTGAGTTCAGTTATTAATTCAATCTTTAGGCTGTGTGAATAAAATTATAACAAAATGGTTTCTCTCCCTCGCCGCATAATTAAAGAAACACAACGATTACTCCAAGAGCCTGTCCCTGGCATAAGCGCTGTACCAGATGACAGTAATGCTAGATATTTCCATGTCATAGTTACCGGCCCAGACGATTCACCATTTGAAGGAGGACTTTTTAAGTTAGAATTGTTTTTGCCCGAAGATTATCCCATGTCAGCCCCGAAGGTAAGATTTGTTACAAAAATTTATCACCCAAATATTGATAGACTTGGTAGAATTTGCTTGGATATTTTAAAAGACAAATGGAGCCCTGCCCTACAAATTCGTACTGTATTACTCTCAATCCAAGCTTTATTAAGTGCACCGAATCCTGATGATCCTTTAGCAAATGATGTTGCGGAATTGTGGAAGGTTGATGAAGCTGAAGCGATTCGCAACGCCAAGGAATGGACTCGCCGCTATGCTATGGACAATTGAAAGAACAAAAACAAATTGTGATAAATACAAACAATATATATACATATACACAAATGTTCCTTTATATATATTGTTTCTTCTTAGTTACAAAAGAATACATGCCAATATGATTTTTAAATTCACTTAGTGCTAATGTATATAATTTGCATGAATTTAAGTTGGTATACTTTAATTTTACATCGTACTACAATCTCAATTTGTTTTAATTATTGTATCGAGATATGTTAAACACAATTGGGAACATTCTGTAGTTTTATTTCCTCAATCGAAAATCTAGATTTCTTTGACTTTTTTTCAGAAGAGTATATTCAGGAATATTTATCTCTTTGTATTGTAATATTATTAGTTGTCGTTTTAAAATTTTAAATTTGAAGAATAATTTTGAATAATTATTGGAGGACCATGTATGTATAAAGCATATTAAAGCTTGGTAGCTAACTTATTCAAAATGTACATCTTTTTTTTTCTTTATTGATGGTTTTATTTATGTTACATCCCAATCAATTTTTAAGAAAATATGTCTTAATATTGTAAAATATTATATAAATATACTTTGTTATTGTAACTATTTGGTATGTTAATATAACCTTTTAGTTTCTTGCTTCTAATTAAATTTATATGGTAATTACATTTTGTTATAAAAAATTTAGCCTGTTTATAAATGACACAAAGCTCAATATTGCCATGATCAACTTATCTGATTTATAATTAATAATCCTAAGCTTGTTTTTATCATATTATTTTGATGCAACCTTGAAGAAGTAATTAAATTTGAGGTTATTAAACTGTTGATAAAGCGTTTATACAGATTTAAGCTTGTATACATTAGCTGTCATTACTTTGTATCTAAGTCAAAAATTAAAGGATTTCGTCCAAACAAGTGTTGTATATTTTTATTGAACTTGAAGTTTTCAATTTGATAAGTAATTGGTTAATTTATGTAAATTCTACAAGTATATCATAAACTTTTATGGAAGGTGACTATTTAATTTTTTATTCATTTATATTTACATACGCCTTTAAAATATTATATCTAATTGTAACACTACATTATAATAGAACCAAAACATTATAGTCAAAGCGTAGAATCAAGAATATATAAATAAATTAAAGATGTCAAAGCATGGACATTTTTTTCTATTACTTATGGGTAAAGAAAAAAAAAAAAAGAATAGCCAGTCCAATATTTAAAGTAAAAATTTAATAATTATAAATTTTTCTTTTAAATCCATAAAATGTGACAGTTCAAATATTACACAATAAATTAAAATGCAGAATTTGTATTTCATATTTGTAACATTTAAAAACTCTAATATGTGATAAGAGGAAGGAAATATAATTTTAATGAATTCAGACTTTATTGACTTGGTGAATCATACATATCTCGAATGGGTATCAGATTTTATCTGGAAGTATGTGCAACCAAATTATCTATCAGATAAATAGTTTTGTATTTTAAATAAATAAGGTAATTAAACAATTGAGATCAGCTAGGTATTTTATTAGAAATACATTGAGCTTGTTAGTATATTTACTTGGAATTGCATGATCCTTCAATTAATGTCAATGAAAATAGTTTATAATGAAATTTTATTTATTTATCTTTATTTTCCTATTATTTTAAAAGCATAGTATAAAAGAATTACCCAAAGTCTATATTTAAAAGTTTGGGAAAAAATGGAGGTAGTTTTAGAAGAAATCTGACAGACAAAAATCTGGATTTTGAAGGTCAATTTTCAGTGTTGAAGGTTAAAGCTGTCTGAGAAACTGAGAAATTTTCTGAAAACATCAAGTTCAAAACCGTATTTATTGTTGAAGTCTGTAGGTAAATATGCTTCATTAGCTGACATTTTTACTGTATACTACAATTTTTTAGTCTCCTATTTAAAAAATCTTGTTTTGTAAATGGGAAGAATTTTTTTGGACACATTTTTTAAATCATCTCCATGAATATTTTTCTCTTAGATTGGCGGATGTAATAAAACTATAACTTTCGCATCTCAGAACTTGGAAGCGAGCATAAGTTAATAAGTCTAATTACAACAGTTGATGATATTTTTAAAAATTAATAATCTATTTTTTTAAATCCAATATCATCTTTATCAGTAATGATTTAAGCTTATCTTGTGTTTTTTACCTTATAGATTTCTATTAAATCAATATTTGCGTTTGTTTCGATGTCACTGTGGAGTTAATGGGAATAAGTGGGCTGACAAGCTTTCAAGGAAAGAATTACTGATGTACTAAGCTCACACAGCTTTCAATTTTGAATCTCCTAAAAGGATATTGACTGACTTGAGACATGAATACTTAAAGGTAAAAGGTAATTATATAGAGGAAGAAAGGCATAATCCTTACTAAACCCTTTTGAGGATAAGTGATTCTCTTTTTCTGAGTCACAATAGACCCTGATTACCTGCTAAAACACTTGTATCGGATTGTAATTGAAGATTTTCAGTCCTCATACTCACTTTGGTTCAATGAAGAGATGATAGGAGATATGTCCATTACTTGATAATATAATATTTTAAGATAGCATAAATATGCAAAAGAAGCAAAATTATATTTGACTTTAAAAGAATGGACAACTTAATAAGCCAACATAATCCTAGTGTAAGGGGGAAGAAAAACTTGCCTTTGCAAAACTTCTAAGGCTTGAAAACTTCAAAAAGTTCTTTAGTTGTCTCCAGACCAATCTATAAAGGAAGAATTACTTTTTTTCAAGTACCTTTGACTAGTTTCTAAACATACAAGTGTTTATTATTATACTATTGCTAACAAGCAGTGTAGGGCATATTGTAATTGAATTAAAAATAGCTATTATATTGTATTCATAGTTCATGAATTGAACTTACATCAAGAATAATAATTCAATTAAAACATGAATTTTAATTATATTGTAATCCTTTAATATAATTGAAGTGACTAAGTATGACTGTCAATAATTCAAATATTACCAAGAATTGTAGTTGAATTATAATTTTGATTCATTTATATGAGTAATTACGACTGGGTATCACATCGGTGGCTAAAGAGTGTAATTGTGAGACATAATATCAAAAGAAAAACTGAAAACACGTCTCTAATTGTATAATTTGTTTTTTAAATTAAGAGAAAAATTAGGGAATTGAAAAATTAAAATATTACATGAAACTGAAAATTATATCTATTCTTACATATAATAATGCATTATATATCTTAACATTCTGTACAAAAAATTATAAAAGGGAAACGTTACTTTTTAGAAAAACTCTTGTCGATTTGTCATTGTCGCAAATGAGAACAATCGTTCGACTGGTGCCGACAAAAGAAGAGGTGTTTTAAATTTTTTAAAAGTCTTACGATTAGTGAGATATTAATGAAGCAGTTCTATATCCGTGGTCAGCTCTTGAAAATACTGCAAAATTGTTAGTTCTACTACATACCAGTGGTCTATTACAATTTTTGTAATTCAATTATTCCTTATATTTAGATTGATATTTGAATTAACTACAGAATTCAAATATTTGAGGTATATTTAATTGAATTATTTTTTCTATTACTGTAATTGATATTTTCAGATATTTCAATTACAATTACAAAAACAATATAATAATTTAATTAGCAATTGAATTATATTGTAATTTAAATTTACTCAAATCTGGTGATAAAATATAAAATGGCTCTAAAGAATTTGTTTTTTTAATAAATAAACATTTTGATTAATTGAGAAATAATTAATTTAATATTAAGTTAGGTAAGAACAAAAGGTTAAGTGATTATTAACTTATTTTAGCCTGAGTGAGAAGTTTGAGTTTTATTCTATCTATCTGATACTTTAAATGGAGTTTAAATTTTTTTATGGAACTTTTAAAAGCAGATTTTTCATTGGAGTCTCAAAGCTCATTTCTGTTAAAACAAGCAGGCCTTATTTTGGTCATATACGTGAGTCTTTTGTAATTAATTGGAAGTTATAGCATATGTCTTGTAAGTGCCGAAGTGGCTGGAAACTAGTTTTAGTCTTGTATGAGGGTTCCAAGCTAGACATTTGTCGAGATTGAGTCCAAGGTATCGGACAAAGAACTTTTGAATTTATTTTCATAAAAAAATAGGCAAACAATTAATATATATTACATAAAATGTCCAAAACAGTTTCTTAAGCAGGATTGTATCTCTAACTATAAATCAACGTTCTTTATAATTTTTTAATTTTAAAATTAAACTCAAATTTAAATTCAGGTGTATTTTTTTAAAATTTAGACTCAAAAACACTTAAACAATGCAGAATGTTGTTTTGAAAGCTTTTTATACCAAACATTTGTAACTACATGAAAGACGATGAAAATCTGTTTATACAAGTATATAAGAATATAGATAATATGAATTAATTAGTAAACTATAATATTTTGTATAAATATAATTTAAAATTAATGTATTCATCTTATATGTACCAAACTTACAGAATACAAAGATAGTGGAATAGACTAGAAGATTGAGAAAGAAGATATGAACCTACATCTCTTTTTTTTTTTAACCCTATATAGCCTGTCTGTTTATTATTTAATTATAATTTAATGTAGATAATGCCTTATTATATCATTTGTCTCTTACTTTATTCGTGTTCGGAATGTAGGCATTCTACATTTCTAAACTTTTCTTATAAATTATGTTCATGTTTTTTTTTTTTTTTTTAAGTAAAAACCATTCAATCAAATTAAAAATTTCAATTTATCTTCCTAAGTTGGAATTTATGATTACAAAAATTCATTTGATGATAATAAACGTAAAATAAGGGCAACTTTTAGTCAATATAATTAAAGAAAAGAAGGTGAAACGACTGCCAGAAGAAGATTAAAGAAAAAATACTTAATTATGTCTTAAAATCATTTACCAATTATTGATTATATATAGAATTGGAAGTTATTAATCTGGAAGATGTTCACTTATTTAAAAAGTAAATTATAAGATCTAATTTTATACTTGATGTTTAATTTATAATTGCTAGGTTTACTATTTTTTCTTTAAAAATTATTAATAATTGACCAAAATCATTGTATGACTTAATATTTTTTGCTGCATAAAGAAAGATAAGATTGGCATCATTTTTTTTTTTTTTTTTTAGATGGTGTCTATTTTGATATCTGTAAGTGACTCGTATTAGAAAGTATTTTATTCAATTATCTAATATTTGTTTTTAACATTATCTTACATTTCATTTATTTTTCAATAGTATCCTATTTCAAAAGAATCAATACAAAATAGAACTAAAATGGACATCAATTAAATGGCACATATTGATATGTTATTGTTCATATTAAAGTGTTTAATAAAAGAACTGAAGACGATTAAAATTATATAATAAGCATATGAAATATAGTGTTTAATTTATATTTTGTACGTAATAACAAAATTTAAAGATGTTTAGTGTAATGTAAGAACAAAAATAAAATATGATGATGTAGTACAAAATATGTGAAAATAAATAATTTTAAAGTAAATGTAATAATATAAACAAATGTTACTTAAACTCATATGCTCATGGTCACTTGAGAGTCGTGACAGATGTGAAGGGAGAACTAAAAAA